AGGGGGCCTGTAGCGGGTGGTGTGGCTGGTGCCTCCAGCTGCGGTGATCCGCGCCCTGGGTCTGAGCGCAGCTTTCCCGTCGGCAAGCAGTGCGGTTGCTGTGACGCGTGAGCCTGTCGCCGTAAAAAGTGTTTAATTACCGGTACTGAAATGGACTGCTCGGTTTCAGGCGCACGTAGAGAACTCCAGCGGTTCTGCTGAACTTTCTTGCTTGGAACTGTGGTTGCCTGCTGATCCGGTGAGATCTCGCGCTAGCTGTGGTAAGCTTATTTAGAGCTCCTGGGCTGAAAGAAAGTCTTTGACGTAACAGAACTAAACTATGTGCAGAAAACAGCCAGGAGATGCCTAAGAGCGAGGATTAGTTTAAATAGCTGTTGCCTTGGCAGTGGTATTGAACAGATACTGTGTTATTGCATCTGTGTTAATTGCTACTGAGCAGACAGTAACTTTATTTTAGATAGGTGGTGCTTTCATATGAAGTACCATGAAACTGTGTCTAGAAACATGTACAACTTCTAACTTCTAGAAGCCTTTGACTGAAGATTAAAATAACTACTTTTAGATAACATCACTCGTGCTTCTAGTACTGCAACTCTTTCTTCCTGAAACAACTCCTGTCAGTGCAGTGTGTTGTGTGGGTTTGTAGACAGGTTCTGTCTGTCTGTGCGGTTTGATGCGTTTTGTCCTCCTTCTTTACAAGCATCACTTCATAACATGTGCTTGCTGGGACATGTAAGAAGGTCTCCCTGAGCAAGTATCATCCTTTCCTACAGGAATCTAGTTTTCATGGCTAGAGGAAGATCTCTTGAAATGCTAGCCAGTGCTGTGCTTTTTACCAACCTTACTATTTGTCACAAATAGAAAGCTTCCTATGCAACTGGTAGCTGCTGACTCAGAGCCTTAACGTTAAATTTGGCAGTGCCAGTACTGCTTCAGCTGCTTGTCAAGCTGCAGCAGAGTGAAAACTAGCCATGTTCTGGTTAGTGTGTATTGTTGCTGTTCAGGGCTGTGTACATGGCAGGAGGCCTCGGCAGGAGAAGAAATCAAAGCAAAAGCAAGTGGGTCTTACCAATAGTGCTGCCCCGTGGTTAGGGATGGCGCTTTAGGTCTTCGTAGACCGCTTTGTGAGGAAAAGCAGCTTTTTTTTGCCTGGAGTGTCTCCTAGCAGTTGGGTAAGGTTGGTAGTTTGTATATTGGTAGTTAGGTGGCTTTTTATGGTTAAGTATTCTGCAACACTCCCTTAAGCAGGCGTGCAGGCAGAATGGTAACCTGGACTCTCTGCTCTGTGTTGGAAACAAACCCTGTGATAAGACAGATGCTGTAATAGTGTGAGAAGATCGCTCTGGCATAGGTCTCATAGAAGAAGATAAAAGCAGAGCATCTCAATGCTGTTCTTTATATCTTCTTAAAGGATAAGATTCAATTAGCAGTCAAGTACTGCTCCAGTAGTCCTAATGAGTTCAACAGAAGTGCCTTGCAGCCACATCTCGGCTGCATAGGAGGTACTAAATATTGTTCTTGTGTAGTTTTCTCATGGTATACCAGTGACTACCATACAAGCCTTTCAACAGCATAAGGCATAAAGATGAGCTGTGAAAGGCAGTTTAACCTATATCAGCTGATTAATGGAATAAGGTAATGATGGCAACACCACTGACTGAACAGATGTCCATTCTCTTAAGTGGCTAGTAGCTTTGCATATAGGCAGCACAGTTCATATAGGTTAACCTGTTAATAGTATCTTATGGCTAATAACTCCAAACTAAACTATAAAGTTTCTCCCTCGGTGCTGATGGTCTGGCTTGGTACCTCAAAACTGGTGGGTGGGGGTTTTGGAGCTTTCTTGGTGATGGGTCATGTGACCAAATAAACCTCTGTCTGCAGGGGAATGCAGGTGTGCGAAGTACAGTTGTAAGCGCATAGCATTTGAGTGCCTGTGTATTGATTTCTTTCCATACACTAAACTTGCCACTCAAACTTTTGTTGGTGGTTGCTCATCTCCAATATAGAGCAAATCCTGTTGCTTACAGTATTTTCAAGATTATGCTAAGTTCTGTTAAGAGTCCCTTTGCTGCCAGCTTCATTTAGGCACTTCATTTAGCTTGTTAGCTAAAACTTCAGGTTCTGTATCACTTGTCTGATGAGTAACTGCACACAGATTCACTTTCCAGCCCCAATTGTAGGAACATTTTCATGCGAATGATCCTTCTAACTATGACTAATAGCCAGACAGTCATTCTTCTGCATCATTGCATGCTTAAGCTCACAAAGTGTATTTGAAATTGGAAGCTTGGCCTAAACAGCAAAGTCTTTGGGGACTAAACCAGTGAAGCAGACAGGCCTTTCTTAGCCATGTTACTATACGTGTCACTCTACTGCTAATACTTGTTTTAAGAGTACAAATGAATCGGTGTTTTTAACCTAATGACTATTTGGGGGGAGAAAAATCATGCAAGTAACTTTACACAGTGATTCAGCTTTCCATGTATCTTAAGCTGTTTAAGATTCTGCTCGTGTACATAACTAGCCTTGCTGCATGCAAGAGCTGTGCATTTGGATCAGCTTCTTGGTTCCCTTCCTAAGCAGTCTTTTCTTCCTTCTTATCAATATTGAATGGAAACTGCAGGTTCTTAATGCATTGAAAGTGCATTGCTATTCATAACTGCTGTGTATGTGGGATGTTTACAAATGATACGGGGTAATGATAGGAACGCGTTTCTCTCATCTGAGACACCTGAGAGATTGCTAAAGAAATATTGTGTGGGAGGGAGTGAAAATGAAGGATGAGCTTTGCTTTCCCCTGCCCCCCCGGTAGGCAGGAAAAGTGAGCTCTAACTATCCTTTTAGCTTTTGTCTGTATGATTCTCAGTGCTGCATTCTGCATCCCCCTAAAACAGTATCATTCAGCTTCAGAGAAAGTGTTACAGACTGATAATACGTTAACATATTTGATTTTCATCTTTTGCTAGACACTGTTAGAACTGATTCACTGAGGAAAATTATACCTGCCCCAGTAACAACAAGCTGTGCTGTGTTACCTCAGACAAGTGGATAGACTCCTGTTTAAAGGAGAAGGTAGCTTCAGGGCTCAAAGGATCTCTAAAAGGACTAGTACTGTTTTGTTTTGTTTTTTTCTAGTAGAACTGAAAAGCAGGCACAAAGAAGAGTATTGTCTAACCACTGCTGGAGAAGGCATTTTTATCCTGTGTCTTTGGTAGATTGCAGGTGACTCATCCAGTCTGTTCTTCTGAAACATGCTAGAAAGCTCTTGCTTAGTCTCTCTGTTAAATTCTTTGAAAATGGAATCCCTCTTTC